AACCTAGAACAAATAATGGATGTCTATTCTATTAACATTTCTCTATATGTAGAATGGGTTCGTTTTATGGGTTGTCTCCTCAATTTAGAGGGCCCCCTGCCTGTCTTTGCTTAGGGCCCCAAATTTCCTAAATCTGCCCCTGGTCCCCCACAATTCCTTTTTTAAACATCAATCTTTGTACTAAATCTTTGAAGCTTCATATCTTGGTCAGACCCTGTATTTCAGTGAACTGGTGGAGTCATAGTAAAAAATATGCATGCCCAGGAGAAGGCCAGTGGCTGGAAGTTGGACATGATGTTGCTGGGAGCTGTAGGGGAGTGGGCTGCCATTCGGCTGGTTTTTGACTGGGAAGGGCCATTTTGAATGGCTGCTACTGAATAACAAGATGCTTAATGTGTGAATATATGAATATACAGGTCTAATTCTATATATATATAAATATATAACCTGCACTGCAACATAAATAGTAAGGGGCATCATTGTAAGTAGTCTACCAAGATCACCCAGGCATTCAATCTGGTTGAGATCTGGATGATGGCCGCTAAAGAAGAAGACCCCAGTGATGATCCATATATCTAGGGAGAGACTTAATGTCCTTCTGGCCTGAGAATGTCTTTGACTGCCTAGACTGAGCTGGGCATGTTTGGGTTTCCTTGCTGAACCTGTTACCCTATCAGCAAACCTTATTTTTTATTTTATTTTTTCCCAATAGAGGGTCCTAACCTAGATCCTTCCTAAGGTTATTTAAGTTTTGTATGAATGAATAAACTGTTAAAAGAAAAATAATGAGTCTGATTTTTTGGCTAAAGACACAGAAGTCAAGAGATTTTGTATCTCTTAGAACAATAATTGATGGCATGTCACAATTTGTCAAGATTATGAACCACAACCATTTTGAGAACAAGTAGAGGGTGAAACAGGGACTAGACATCTTAACTGTTAAACTGGATTTTCAAAATAATCTGTAGTAATATCTACAGACAATATTCAAAGACTTGGAGCAATCAAGATTAATGAGGAGCTCTCAGCTGATGAAAAATGGAAATATCCAGAGTAATAAATCTTTTAAAAACCTTTGACAGCGCCTTTCCTCTAGGTCACAAGATGATGACAAGGTATGTTTCATTTGGGGATTTTGGGTGCAGCTATTTTTTATTCTCCATTTAACCTTCACTTATAATGTACATAAAAAAGATGTTACTCTACCATTTATAATGAAACAAGTAATTAAAAATTAAATCATTCTAAGCACGACAAGACTGGTATTAAATTGGTGCCTGCTTGTAAACTCAGAGGACACCATTTGTTGGTCAGTGAATGCACCACATCGGTGTGCAAAAAGGGTGTTCCAACATCAATACAGCAATAATCAAATTATTTGATTCTGGTGTGTTAGGCAAGAAAACATCAGAAAGTTGCAGGATACTAGGAACTAGAGATGCCTCTTCAATGTGAAAGCTGTTACTAATGAACATAGGGTCACAGGTATTTATGAAAGTGGATTAAAAGTTAAATCGGAGGCAGCACACAAGGTGTAAAAATTGAAATCTCACTGGAAAAAAATCAAAATCTAGATGACTAATTTTTTTCTTAAAATAAGTGCATTTGCTCTTGGATTAAGGTAGTAAAAGAGACATCTTGCCAATGAAACAAGGCAATTTACACTTAGAACAAGAAAATAGAATAGCATTGTTTAATTTCAAGTGCATATTATCTAATTATCTTACCGGTATTTATCAGAGTAAAAATACTCATTCCATTGGCAAACTACCTCATTTACCTACTCAAATTAAGGGGAAATACACTTAATTTAAGAAATTTTTACTTATTTCTAGATTGTTTTTTCAGTGCTCAATAAGTTTTTTGTTATTATTTAGATTTGTTTTTCTTAGAATAAGTGCATTTGTTCTTGAATTGAGGAGGTAAGTGAGACACTTACCAATGGAACAAGACAATTTACTTTTATTGATTCCGTTTTATTTTCCTGTATTTTAATCATGTAAAGCACTTTGCATCGTCTTTGGACTGAATTGTGCTATACAAATAAATGTGCCTTGCCTTGCCTTTTATAATAAGAAAACAACTGTGTTGTCTTATTTCAAGTGCATATTATCTAATTATCTTATTTTAAGAGTAAAAATACTAATTACATTGTTGAATAATCTTATTTACATGCTCTAATTAAGGCTAAATACACTAAATTTAAAGGTGTTTTACGTATTTCTAGATCGTTTTTGCAATGTGGTGCTAGTTTGAGAACATTTTGAGCTGATAACAGGAAGAAAGAATAATTTAAGCCAAATTTGCTTTGTTTCATCAGTTTAGGCTTAAAGCCTCCATCATGGACAGAATTTTTTTATTAATGTTAGCCATGACTACTATGGACATTTATAGTATAACATGCTAAAAAATGGTAGTCTGCTAAGGAGTTGAAGAAGTGTAATTCTTTTATAATTAAATCATGAGTTATTTTCCAAAAGTAACCGATTACATTAAGAGAAAACATCTATATTTTTTTATTCATTTAAAAAATGAAGACAGCAAAATATTTGCTGTAGAAATCCTCTTCTAAATGTATTCAGCTGCCAGCCTTGCTAATAAAAATTCAGACTTACAACTGTCCTATTTAAAATATTAGCCTGAAGTTGCCTTGCATTATCTTAACCAATCAAATGAGAGGGTTTATTTTATCTAAATAAGAACCAAAAAAAATGTATTGTACTTGATTGATAGTCTTATGCTGACACTGCTCAAAATAAAGTTGCTTATCTTAATTCTATCTTCTGTCTTGGATGATATTTTTGGTTATTATGGCTATGTTCACACTGCAGAGTAAAGTGCACATATACATCCTGTATCTGATCTATTCATGAAAGTCTTAAAGGAATAGTACACCCAAAACATGATTAGCCTTCATTTTCTACTCACCCCCATGCTGAACAACACTCTGGAGTACTTTTTTGATATCTCAAATGCATCTGGAGATCTGGGAGGCTTCTTGCTGTCTGCTGACATTCAAATAATGGAGGTCCATGGTGACCGAGACAGAAAGGTCCATAAAAGTCCACAAAAACATGTCAATATTCCTCCATACTGCTCGTCCAATGTATTCCAAGTGTCCTGAGTGGGTAGCATCCAGAATTTACTCGAAACGAAGTCATTTAGAATGTTTTTAGAGCATAAACAGTAGTGTATAGGATTTCCTGAAAGCGCGCATCTGCGCAATCCCGACGCTACGGAAGCCGGCAGACCAAACCAGCGCATTCAGCTCGGCAAAGAACTCATGCTCTTCCTCAACACTGAAGTCCTCAGACATTTTTCTTTCGTTGTTTCTTTCTTTGCACAGGTAAACGCCACATTTCTTCTTCTACGCTTGCATTATTGGAAGAGCAGACGCTGAATGCGCACTTTCATCTGGTTTGGTCTGCCGGCTTTCGTAGCGTCGTGATCGCGCATGTGCGCGCTTTCAGGAAATCCTATACACTACTGTTTATGCACTAAAAACATTCTAAATGACTTCGTTTCGAGTAAATTCTGGATGCTACCCACTCAGGACACTTGGAATACATTGGACGAGCAGTATGGAGGAATATTGAAACGTTTTTTGTGGACTTTTATGGACCTTTCTGTCTCGGTCACCATAGACCTCCATTATTTGAATGTCAGCAGACAGCAAGAAGCCTCCCAGATCTCCAGATGCATTTGAGATATCAAAAAAGTACTCCAGAGTGTTGTTCAGCATGGGGGTGAGTAGAAAATGAAGGCTAATCATGTTTTGGGTGTACTATTCCTTTAACAACAAAGATCCGATTTTCTCCAATGCAACCCAGGCATCTCGGCTATGTGGTCCTGAATCCGATATGAATCTGATCTTTTCAAATGCAACCTGTGTCTGAACGGCCAGGTCGCATTCATCTGACCTGAACGCCATTAGTACTCAACAAAGGTCTTTATTCTGCTTCTTGCAACGCAGATGCAGCAAGAAAAACAACAACCATGGTGGACAATAATGTGGAGAGCAGTCTTTATTTTCAACTATCTTGAAAAGATTGTGTCATTAATGCACTGGCAGAGGTTGGGAAAGATTGCCAGATGCTCTCCAGCACCACCATCCATGTTTACATCCATAAACAGAGAGCATGCTCGCTTGTGACGTCATTGCATCCTCTACTGTGCATGGGGGACACTTAAGTTGTGTGAATGCAGTTCACACAGGAGATCACATACAAGTCACATATATTTGGAAATGTGAACGGCAATGCAAAAACAATTTGCATTAATGCCTGCAGTGTGAACATAGCCTATGAGAATTTGAGTTGGACTATTGTTGGACAGTGCATATCCTGTGTATCTCTATGCTCAGTATTTTTTTGTATATGGCTGATAAATGTCTGATATCGTTTTTTTTTTTAAAGCCCCCAATATCGATATCAGTTTTGGCCTTCAAAATCCCATATCAGTCGGGATTTAGTTTCAAGTTTGAATTAATAACATTTAATTATTCAGTTGTGCATTTAAAAAAAAGAGCGATATATATTAAATGATCGATTAAACTTACAGTCATTATTTTTGGATGGTGAGAATAATCAGAATAATCCCAGGAGAAAACATGGAGAACATGACAACTTCATGCAGAAAGCCCAAAGGCTGGCATTTAAACCCCCGTGCTTCCAGCTGCAGGGCAGCTGTGACAGTTCACAGCCCATTTAAACCATCATATGCATAAACACGTATGACTTCAATCAGTAAATATGTGTTTTTTTACATTTAAATAACTGATGAGTTATTGTTAGTAAAGGAGTACTATAAAACAGTTGTATCATTTGGCAGTTTATTTGTGTTTAATTTATTTTAAATTGTAAAATCTGCTAAAAAAAAAAGCTACAAACAAACAAATTGAAGAATGCATTTGGGAAAAACTGCTGCTGTGGTGCTCCTTGTTTTGCTCTACCTTCTTTTCGTCTCCCTCTTGTAGGAGCTGCATGTTGCTGCGTCGCTGACTGTCTGTCCTTCTAAGCGTGGCGCTCCGGTGCTCGAGCAGATCAGGAGGGGGAGACACACTCCGACCCTGAGGATCCACCCAGGTATAAACGTGGTTGGTAACATAGCCTCCTGGAATCCTTCCGACTGAGCGCACTGAGAGATTTAGCTTCTTGCTGCCCTTCAGCACCTGAGGAGAAGACAGAAAAAAAAGAGCCATCAAGCCACAGTTCAGATGGTTTAATATGATTTCATGGACATAACAGTCAAATCACAGGCTTTGTCGCAGACTGTGGGAGGTTTCAGCGGGTAACACTGAGGTAAAGTAGGAGAAAAAAAAAAAAGTAAAATTATATAGAAGCAACCAATTTCACAAATGTTCTCCTACACTGAGATGAAACAACCAGTCTTAACCTTCCAAACCTCACAGACACAAAAAGATGGTATTTCTAACACATCTAAAACCACAATTGCTATAAGCTGTGCCTCATTGCTCTCTGATAGCTTTTTGTATGTGCAATCCTGCTGCAGATCAGCCTATCTCCACACGGCAGCTTGGAGAAATCAAAGTGAACAGGGCCGAAGATCCAAGGGATCAGGACCCATTTACAACAAGCACCAGTCTTCACTGTAGGATAGGACAGTAAAATGGCTCTGTAATATGTGGCTAGTTTTATAGGTAGTAGGGACAGACTGTGCTGAAGTTTAAAACCATCCCTTAGTGATTTATACTTTCCTTAGTAAATGAGATCAATAAAATAATTCAATCAATTCAAAATCTTTGTCTTTTTTCTGTTGTTTACGGTGGGGCTGCTAAAAGAAGCTGGGTAAGAGGAGGATAACATCCATCCATATTTTATACATACCCCAATGTAATTATTGGATTGGAACCAGACATCATCAACATGTTGGTTTTCAAATGTGTTTCTTTTGATTAAATAAATGTTCAGACTTTGGGAAGGAAGGATATATGATTTGATAGAGGAAGGATTGTGGTTTCAGCTGCTAAGCATCAACAATTCGGTCCTGGAAATCCTTTCACAGAGATAAAACAAGCAGACTTATCATGGTTTATCCAAGCAAACAGAAAACCCATCCATCCATTTATTTTTTATCACGCTTATTCTATGCGGGGTGACGAAAGATGCTAGTGCCTATCTCAAGCTGTAAATGGGCGAGAGGCAGGGTTTACCCTGGGCAGGTCGCCAGTCTATCGTAGGGCAATACAGAGACAAACAGGACAAACAACCATTTATACACAAACTCACACCCAAGGGGAAACTGGAGAAGCCACCTAACCTAACAGTCATGTTTTTGGACTGTGGGAGGAAGCCGGAGTACCCGGAGAGAACCCACACATGCTCAGGGAGAACATGCAAACTCATTGCAGAAAGACCCCAGGCTGTTAATCAAATCTTTTTGCTGCAAGGCAGCAGTCCAACCCGCTGTGGCACTGAGCCGCCCCACAAAACCCATATGAAATAAAAGGGGTGGATCTATCATTTGCATTGACTGGAAATCAGGCTCAGGCCACTAATCACACCTCGGATCCAGACTGCATGGTACATATTACCATAGGTAATTAACTCATCATCATACTCCATAGGTTTAAGCTGTCTGTCAAACAAATGATTCACATTCATAGAAATATACTGTACAGGGTAACCTGAAACATTTAGTTATTTTGTTATAATCAATAGATTACTTTAAGTTTCAGCCTCTAAGAGGTTGTTAAAAAATCCTACCGTTTACAGTACAGAGAGCATGCAGCTGTTAAAAAAACAAAA